ATCATTCATTAACTAACAACAGCATTGAAGCAATGTTATCTGCATACTTTGTGAACGACATCCACCCTCCTCAAACACTTCACATTCAATATGTGCGTGTGAGTCAGTCGAGAGTGAATAGATAAGTAAAGGATACTTACTATACTTAACACAATAACCAATCATCTCATCTTAAACTGGAATAATCCGTTTCCAAGCTGATAACAATCAGATGCTACTACTCTCAATAGTTAGTGGGAGTTATATATATATATGAGAATGTGATCTCGTAATCAGACACAATAGTCTGAAGTGATTCACATCATGTTCCACAGTTTCGATACTTTGACGAACTGGCCTGTGTGGTGTAAACCAGGATGGATCCAATCTGTATCATTCGAAGGCCATGATGAAATATGGCCGATCAAAATCAAACACATGTATTAGCGGTAAATATTCAATCAGAAATATCACCGAAACACTGCTACTGTAAGGTTGCACAACCAAATGATCAATACTCCGGCTGGGAGTAAGTTGAGAAAAACGGCAGTCACATAAACACATAACATCAGTTTGTGATATAACTGGACGTAGGTCTCTGAGTCAATATGTTGAGAACTCTAATTCAGTCTCCATCTAAGTCGCAATATATACAATCCAAACTATGAGTAACATAGAGCAGAGCTGGTTACCGTTGTCTAACGGGGTTGTATTACTCCACTTTTCCTAAAATGCTAATCGTGTCGTTCTTAACTTTTCATTCAACGATATCATTTATTCCATTAGAATTTTATTCCTCTTGTTAAGATTTTCATTGCGCTTGCGGTTAATTTCGCCTACTTGCAACACATTTTAATGATTTTTACTTTCGTTGATGTGAGTAGATGTAGCAACCCGAACGAATACACGTTCGTGCTAATCCCTCTAGTGGTAATGACGCCACATCTTACTAAATGAGGTTAATCTTAGTAAACCTTTTGGAAACACGTAGAAATAATCCGATCCAAACATTGTGGATCAAAAATAAGCCGATTTTCATAATTCAGTTTCTTCCAGTAGAGTGATGTAACTTCCCCGACCAAATACGCAAAACTCTACGTACTTGACTTCAAGCCCATCATATCTTATGTGTTAGGGCCCAGTAAACTTTCAACCAGTTGTTGAAATCGAATTATATGGAGCAAACGAAAGTTAAACTTGACATCCATTTGGTTTAAAGCCCAGTCTATAAACCATTAAGATGCTAATCCCTCATAGTTGTAGCATGCTTCGTCAACGTAAATTTTAGTAAGGCCCCATGAAAGTTGAAAATGGCCTGATCATTGATCATACGGAAATAATAGAACATAAATTATGAATAAACTCATTCGTCCGACACTTAAGACTGGGCTCAAGATACTATCCGGTCGTAATGAGTTCAAACCTAGAAGGTAGTGACGGAAAACCAAGCCCTGATAAGTTTTCACGATTAACAGTGCAGGCTGTTCAACAGAAAGAATGTTTATAATAACCTGTAAAGTAAATACGACACACACACACACAGACATACCTGAATTCATATAAAGACAAAATGCTTCCAATGGATCCTCAGCGGGCAGTTTTATCAATTGGTCGGGTGACTTATTTTTGACTACTTTAAACACCTGATGAATTCGAGCATTGACTTTGTGTCGTCTGAATTTCAAATGTTCCATGTAACGTGTTTTATTGGTGAATGTTTCCTTACATATACCACAATAGATTTTGGGAGTTTTTCCATTATACTAATCCAAAGGAAAGACAGAATGTAATGTTGAAATAAGCAAATTTAACAAAACATACAGAATGGTTCTTCACACCCAAGTGTATCCAAGTTAGAATGTTATTGGATGAGAGGTTACGTGGGACGTGTGTGCTATGTAATGGAGAGCTACAGATGAGCGGTTACGTGGGACGTGTGTGCTACGTAATTGAGAGCCACAGACTATGACAAATACAGGTATTCATAACTTTTGATGGCTATTGACAGTGACTTTTTGAACGATGTTAATTTACATTGTCACACTAAGTTGAAATATCTTAACGAATGTGATAATCACAACTCTATTTGTGCTTTCCTAGTGTTTTTCAGATATAATCCCTAAGAATTAAGTTTAACAGTTAGGTCTTAATGGCTCCGAAAAGTGAGTAGTGATCCAGGAACTGTTTCCATTTCAATGTTTATGACAGAAAGTCATATTATCTTTCTATAATAACATTTTGTAAATAACAATATTTGTATTATAAATTATAAAAAACCTATTCAAGTTAGTAGTCTTGTATTTCATTTCAAATTATTCACAAGGCCTCTATATATATTACAAAATCAATTCGGTGAGCTGCCATCACATCGATTCGCACATTGTATCATTGAATATTATCGATAGACTAGTATTTCATTCTTCTATTTTCATAGATATTTCATCGAACCGGTGAAAACTCTTATTCATAACACTTTGGAAATCAACCATTTTCGATACGACATTCATGAATCCTTTATTTATGATATGAATGATAAGAGTGCGGTTAAAAAAAATACGAAATTGTAATTATTAAATATTCATTATCTTGGCTGATCCAGATCGAGAGCTTACACGAAAGAATAGGGATTTTACAATTCTACGGGCTTCGAAAATTTACAAATAAGAAATACTCCCTGGCCCGATTTTTTTCATATGTAAACCAGCTTTTTAAAACATTTTTACTGTTATTAATAAGTAGGCAACTGTGTCATCACCCTGAAAAAAATGAGACTGAGGAAACTAATCTATGAAAGATTGTTTTCTACACTTTCTAAATGAACTAAAAGGAAAAACTGACATAAATCTCATGAGACAATGAACTTTTTACATACACAAAAGTAGTACACGATTTAGGAACATTTCATTCAATGAAATCACAAGTATGCTTCTCCTGTTCAACTGCATTAATATACATATATGAAGTGAATGAAAGTTACCAAAACTATTTAAAAAAGTTCAAAACCAGTATACTTACCACGTCCTTACTCATCAAAGATTCATCATCTTCATCCTCTTTAATTTTAGCTATTGCTTCTTTAAACAAATTTAAATTCTTTAGATGAGGATCGGATTCTAAGTGTTTAGCCAGTTTAATCCTTGTTGTAAATCGTCTTTCACAAATATCACAATATTTACGATGAGTTCGTAGTCTTCGCTAATAGTTTCCAAGCAATAAAATACGACAGAATTTTGCAGAAAAGAAAAAATGGATAAAGGAAAATTAACACAAGTAAACTACTGGATCATTCATTCAGTCAATCAGATGCACCGTAGAACTTCGTACGTAAGTACATCAGTTCATGTCGCCATACCATATCAGCACAGAGATGTAATTGTCAATTCAAATCCAATAGTAGAAGAGGTAGTAAAGGTATTAGAAGTAATCGGAGAGGTTAGGATTAGAACATATTATTCAAGAAGTATGATTCAGTGGGAAAAGTTTACAAAGTTGAAGAATCCAGGAGAATACAAACAATAAATGTACCGGCGCCATTGCGAACGATTCTCAGCCATGTCATTCAAGGTCTCTAACCATCGATTATTATCATCTCGCGGACCCCAACCATGTAGTCGACAATTACCGACATGGCTAAGTCCATTTCGTCAATGACTTCATGGATTTCTGCCATGTTTTGGTTTGGCCGCCCCTAGGTTTCTTCAAACCTATTCCTACACCACAAAACATAGCTCTTCGACACAGTCGTTGGTTAGGCATTCGTAACACATGTCCCAACCACCTCAACTGATGAAGATTCACCACTTCATCTATTGATTCGCCGTCCCTACCTAGAACTCGATTCCTTACGACAGCATTGCTTATACGGTTGTCCCACGATATACGAGCAATGCTTCGGAGACATCCATGATCGAAAACCAATAACCGACGAATATCTTATACTCTCACTGGCCATGTTTCACATCCATATAGGAGAAAGGAGCAAACTGCTGCGCAGTACACCCGTCCTTTAGTCAGCAAACGGATATCTCGCCAACGCCGTAAGTGACGCAGGTTGGCCAGACACCATGAGCAACAACTTACTGTGTAAGAAAACAAACCAGTTTCCAGCCTTATGTATCCGAGATGAGACTTCGTCAGTCACCAGGCCATCAGCACTGATGCGACTCCCAAGATAAGTGAAGCGGTCTACACATTCGACTACTTCACTCCCTATCACTAGTTCAGGTGCCGATGTAACCCAATCCTGAAGCAATATTTTGCATTTCGAGGGAGGAAACAACATCCCAAACACGCTTGCATTGTTGCTTAGGGTGGTCAGAAGACTGCATTTTGTCAGCGTCTTCACCAAGTAGGACAATGTCATCGGCATATTCCAAGTCAATATGCGAGCCACCTGGTAGAAGGTCTACTCCTGAAAATTCAGACGAGGATAAGGTTATTTCTAGGAGCATGTCTATGATAAAATTGAACAAGAGCACTCGACCAGTGCTGTTCGAGTAGAGAGCTTGCATGAGGTTAATGTACTTCTTTGGTACACCTTTCAATGACAGACACTGCCAAAGGACCTCGCGATCCACTGAGTCAAATGTCGCCTTAAGGTCCAGGAACACGATTACTGTCGGACGTCTAAATGTGTGTCTGTGTTCCAGAACCTGTCGTAGTGTGAAAATGTGGTCTATTCAACCACGTCCAGGTCGAAAACCAGAGTGGTTTTTTCGAATTCGCTCTTCACGAGCTTTCGTTAAGCGTCGAAGTATTACTGAGGCGAAAATTTTAGATACTATATTAGTTAGACTTATTCCCCTGTGATTGTCACAAGAAGACTTTTGCCCTTTCTTACAGATTGGGACAATCAGTGATTGAGACTAGTCGGGTGGGATTACGTACAGTTTCCAGATTTTACCTAAGATCTCAGTCAACCTAGCTGCTAAAACTGGACCACCATCCTTAAATATCTCAGGGGTCAGTCTATCAGGACCTGCAGCTCGTCCTCGTTTCAGACTTCCTAACGCTTTTTCAACTCCATAAAGACGAGGGGGAATTACGTCGACTTGCCGTTCAGGATGACTGGAGATCGTTGGTACCCGAAGAGTGGCTCGAGACCAGTTGAACTGATCCCTAAAGTGTTCTGCCCATCGGTACAGTCTCCTGCATTGAGAATGGATAATAAGACCATCCAGTTACAGTTATTTGGTTTATTTGTTTCTCAAGCACATAACAACTCATAAAATACACATATAGACAAGGTTATGTATAATACGTAAGCATTGATTTCAGCAAGTGACCGAATGTCAACAATTAACATATAAAAATATCTGTACATCAAGAAGTATTAATTATTCAACAGAAGCGCATCGAACTTACAAAACCTTGTTTAGCCATTTCAATTTTGTCTTTCGTAGTAAAAACCCGAACCCTTTTACCGAATACAGGTTTCTTCAAGAAAAACAACGGTACTGATCTCTTTTTATCACTACGACTACCTGCCTATAAACAATATAAACAGAGAAATAAGGCATCATTCTACATACATGTTTTTATGCAAAAATTGATCGTTGTATTTACAGTTGGCAGATTCTCATAGTTTCACATCACAAACTGACTCTAGCTGAACCATCATCACATCATGCAGGACATCGCAGTAACCTTTACCCTCACATGTGATGGATAATAACTGTCACATATCCAACAAATATTATCATCCTATTAATAGAATCATTAAATTTGTCAAATATCTTTACACTCTATAATATTCTTGTTTTATTTTCCGTATAGATTATCCATTCACAGTGTTTCCTGCTTGGTTTTGCTCAGTAAAATAGTTGACAATTCATCACGGTCGTTTACAGATTATTCCTTTGCCGTAATCAACGAAGACCGAAGCCCAGATAAGACAATCTACTAGTTAAAAAGTATACACCTTTTCATAAAACATTCATTTGAAAAGTGCATTCATGGCTTTCTTCGTTCACACGTCGTTTATTTCTCAAAACGCACAGATCACACCAACAGTCTTTATCCGACATTTATTTCTTTCCTCAGACAAAACTTCACCGTGATACTATGATGCTTATCCATTCATTCTATTAATAACCTCGAACGTAAGTGCTACACACCACAATACTTAATCCACTCAGTTCAAGATAATTTTCACAAACTGATATTTGTTACTTAAAAAGAAAAACTAAAATTTCTGTAAACAAGCGAAATATGTCACACACACACACACACCAACACACACAAATGACGATTAGAATTGAAAGCATACCGTTAGGCGTTCACGGACAGGAGGAAGAGCTGGTGGCAGTGGTGGTGGCGACTGACGATTCGCTGTCATTGCGGATCTACGCTCACCAAGTGGATTACGGATTGGAGGTAGGGGTCTGTAAGGACCTCCAGGTACTATACAAATACATGAAATAAACAGAAAAAAAACAGTCAAATTGAAAGAAAACATTCAATCAGAATGAAATTATATTTGTTGTTACACAAACAGAAGAAATTATAAAAATTATACACTAGTAAAATGACTGAAAAATCATAAATATTGTGACTGAAGATATTCAACATACTTGTTTATTTTCACAGAAAATAGTTTAACATTTTGCACAAGTATACTGAATCACAACAACATACACTGAACATCGAATCACCTATTTTTTCAAATTCAATCATAACACATCAACCTCTGTGTATGATTATCTTCAAGGTAGACAGACAGCGAATAAGTGAATTTTTTTAGTGAAAATGTCACGTTTACTGGTTGGTTTGATTGAATCCAGGACTATCAATCTAGATTTCCGCAGTTAAGCGATATTACTAGCCCGCGATCATCGAGCAGTGTGGTCTAATGGCAAACGTATTTGATTTTCAGGCTACCAGGTTATTCATAATTTCCTTTCAGAAATGGCGTATAAATTCAATAATCTCCATATATTCATTTGATTGATCGATTAGTCGAACGATTGCACTTGTTTCATCAACGTTAATCAAAAAGTTTAATTCTAACATACAACATCAAAAGTTTACACAACAACTCACTGAACATATCAGAATGAATCATACCATTGTCTTGTCCACCACGTCTCGGAGTAACTAATCCCTTCACATCATAAGTTGGAAACTGAAAAAAACAACAATAATAATAATAACAACAGTAAAGTGATATATACATAACGCTAACAAAGACATAATTTGACTACGAACAGTTGGATAAACATTAGTTGAATTGCGTCATTCTATAATTAAGATTACTATCCTGAAGTTGACTAAGATTACAGAATAGGTGCAAGGATTTCTTTGGCTCACTAAGTACAGTTCATTTATCTAAATGGCTATTACTTCTATTGTTTGAAGAATTTACAAATGAGTAAAATTTGACGAACATTTATGCACTTGATAAACTAGTGAGAAACATTTATTGACACTGGTGTGACGTAAACTACTCACAACGTGGCTTATATGTAGTCAGTGTTGTGAAGAAAACAGCCGATAACACTCTGACGCGTCAGATATCCAGATCACAGACTGCTTCTACAGTAACTTCTAGGCGACCCTCCCTCCACTGAATACTACTTATAAGCCACGTTCTGAGTACTACACATCACATTAGAAATTCGACAAATGTAACTTGCTCCACAACAGCAGTGAAATCGATAACTTCAAAACAAAGTGGTCATGCTAGGTAATTCATCTTTTAGGATCGGTGTCATCACTGGGTACGTAGAAAATACTGATTATAGTTTTCCAGCGTTGAATGCTCTTTTGTTTACTGTTGTACGCAATCTCCGAGTTAATATTTCATCGGTTGTATCACTCCTAAATTGTAGAAGCATCAACAACGATTTCTTACTCAATTTTTGTATTTCACCTATTCTAACCATCGTCATGAAAGATTTGTTTATATACTTTACAGGGAATCGATGTTCCCGAAATGTATTACGTAAGACGTTCACCTCTTCAACTATAACAGTAGAACATGAAGGACATATTCAATAATTGAGTTCTTATCAGCTTTCGTTTTTACTGTGAAGGTAAAAAAATGAGGAAGTGTGTGTACTTTCCTGTCCAGGTACTTCACACTCAGACATATGCTTTTCGTTGTTGATAGAACATCTGAAACGGATATTCCACCTTCACTTTCTTCACACTTAAACTCAATGGCTGGGTGTAGTTCACTAAATTGCCTAAGAACCTTTAGTCTCATGTACTACATCTGTACAGTGGATGAACATATCGTTTTGAACAGAATCGATTAACTGAACCATTTGCTAGTTTAGCTAGAAAAATGTCAGCTAGTATAAGACCTAATGAGGTACCTATCGTAACTCTAACCATTCGTTTGTAGATTTACCCGTTAACCTTGAAATTCACACTTATTCGTTTACGAAAAACACAAGGCATAAAAACCACAAAATTAAATATTATAATTACCTGGAATTTAGGTCTCTCATCTCGAACTGATCGAGGAGGATAATTTGCGCCTATGAATCAATACACAAGAGTACACATTCAAAATGCAATTAGTCAACGATATTACAAATATAAAAATGATTCTATCTTCAAGTCAAGAGTTAAAAAAGAAAGGCAAAGAAAAGAAAATTCAACTCAAATAGAAATTTGACAAATGGGACAAGAATAAGTTGATTTAATATTTTAAAATGCACTTTGGGTACGAATTCCTCGTATCAATAACATTCATATAATTACAACTGATTGGATAGGAGATAAATAGAGACAAAGAGTTCGAGCAGTACTCCCGCCTCAACCCCACGACCACCAGACCATTCTTCGATTCGTGCGGCAGATACAAATCATTTAGGCGACCGAATACATCAATATTGATGTGTTTAAATAAATTTTAACAAATAACAGTAATTGAAGTGATAACGTTTCGTTCAGTTACACAAGTAATACATAACTAGTAATAGTCACAGTCGTTGGCAGAAGAAACATTAGGCATAGACAATTATAATTCGATTGAAAATTTAAAAAATAGAATGAATTCGGGGGAGAAAATAGAAAAATGATATTGTTGTAACGCTTGCTTAGTTAATTCCCGGCTAAATCTTATTGCTTAGTATTCGTGACACAAAACACTGGACAAGTCCCCAAAAATCAAAACACGGTTAAACAGGAAAGATTATATTCCAAAATAGCAAGGAATAAGAAGCCGGAGGTGATGGCGAAAGCCAAGGCAAAGAAGGCAAGAAGGCAAAAATAAATACAACGCCAGTCTATTAATAGCCTTTACATGAGAAAGCTTCTGGGAGAAAATTCACGTGATCGGCTGGCTTACATTTAACCAATCAGCATGCAGCTAATAATACGAGAATTTTCTATCCTGTTTTCCAAGCTTCGATCAGGCGTTGATTGGATAGGAAATTAGCCAATCAGCGCGTAGCGACGTAGTCATGCTTTAATTCCATCTATTTCTCACTAGCAGATATGATTATCACTTAAGAGAAACAATATATATATATATATATATATATATATATATATATATATATATATATTACTTAATTACTCACCGTATGGATCAACATCGATTAGGTCTTTCGGTTCACCTCGATTCGGTGTAGCAAACATTCTCATATCATAATTTGGTGGCTGAAAAATAAACAAGCCATACTGGTGTATACAATCAGCAATGTTAAAGTATTTTTTTTATTTATTCACAGTTAGATAGATAGATTTGATTCGCATAATTTTCACTATTAATAATCTAGACAATATCAATATTATAGTTGCTTACTACATAAAAATTGTTCTACAAAAAAACGTATGCAAAATTAATGACAGTGTTCAGAACAATAATGAGAGCATACTATAACAAATACAACTGAAACTATGCAAATCAGCTGTAAATTATCTTCATGATTTGAATGTTAAATTACAATCAATAATATTTGTCTTTACATAAACTAGATAAACAAAACTTATAACTGTAATGATAAAACACTTTGTCTCAGAAACAACAAACAGATAGAATGATATGTATACATATATACAGACATATTACCTGAAATCTTCGTTTCTCTTCAGAATGATGATGAGAGTAGTTCGATGGAGGACCATCCATGTGAGCAGGTGGTCTTTCGAATGAACGTCGTGATTCTCTTGGACCTTAAAGTGAAAACAAATAACAAGGATTTAAAGAAAAAGCTCATTGCATCATTGAAACAAGTTCACTTTGGATTATCATATTAAAAATGATTCTTTGGCAGAGTAAAAACAATATGATACATGCCTCAAGTTCATCTTTACAAATAGCAATTGTTACCACTACACACACACACACACACACAAGGCTGACGAGTCTTGAATACTACAAAACACGCGTCTTAAATCCCACTACTAGCCACATTTCATCTATTTTATAATCAATGTACTGTTCAGGTATCGTAATATGAAGGCAGTTCCTGTTGTGACAAGAAAAACTGGCTTAATTCCATGAAAAATTGATCATTCAAGGTAAAAGGTATGAAGCAGTTTCATAAACGTTTAGTGTAAACTGCAATTTTATAGATAGGAAAACAAGCCAATCTAACGTGTAACACAGCTATTGTGGAAAATCGTCATTATAGGGTTGCGTGGATTGTTGAGTTTGATCGAAATCATGAATCGACCAACTTTAGACCAACATTGGAAACCAGCAAGCACTGGATGGCTGTTTTCACCTAGTGTAGAACTCATCAACAGTGCACATTCACAACTCCTGCACCTCGCAGGATCCGAACCCAGGACCTTCGGTCTTGTGAGCGAACGCCTAACCTCTAGACAACTGAACAGACATGCATGATACACGTGTCATGCATAGACATTCGTCCACTTACTTTCAGGCGCAACGATGCCTGTAGTACAATTAGATTGTGTGACAATAAAAGCTATGACAGTTAACACACAACTCACTATATTCAAATATATCTACGCCATCTTCTCGTTCAACTCGTCTTGGCGTCGCAAACAGCTTCATATCATAACTTGGAAACTGAAAACAAGCAACCAAACAAACGAATAAATTGTTATCCTGCTAAGCTAAAAATAATTAACCATGCATGCTTTCAAAACAAATGAATGTTAATATTATCACACACAATGTTCAAATACCAAATTACTGATTAGTTAATTGATAAAAAATCACCTGATGTCTTGATGCTCTTTCCGATGAATGAGGGAAAACATGAAGATTCGGAGAATCTTCTCCTCTACGAAGGGATCTTTCTAATGAAGGTCGTTGATCTCGAGCACCTGCAAATAAATAACACAATCAATTAGTCCAAAGACACCAACCAGTTCAATATTTCAATATTTTAGCAGATTTGAAACATTAAATGTATTATACATGTTTAAGTGGGTAAAATCAAGGATTCGGTTGAGATTAAAGGGTTCCACTCATCCATTGCGCATATTTGTACCGATTGACCAACGAAACTATGCAAACAGACAGGATAAGACTGTACGACAAAAGCTCGTATGTTAATGTTTATGCGTTGGTTAAATAATAAAGATAAAGACAGTCAACTCAATCAATCGTAACCAGTATAGTGTTTGCCACAAATATGCATTATCCCAAGTTGCCATGAGAAAACTACAATGTATTGGAAATTTAAAAGACTGTATTAATTAACAATCGGTGTCTTATTAATTCCTATACCGTGATTAAACGTCTCGATGTACCACACGTTTAGTTTATTAATCAGACTATTTATATAGGTCACACATTAAGAGACTGTATCACCACTAATAAGTCTAGTTAATCAACAAAATTCAAGAGTTCGCTTGGAATTGCGTTTAATTATTTTAGTTTTTTCCTATTGAATTTGTTTTAATGTTATTGAATTTTGCATAGCGCCCTACTTTTTTGGACCCCTAGTCCGGGATCCGGATTCTCTTCTAGACTCGGACCTCGTACTTTCTGGATGCTTGTAGAATACAAGTTCTACTTCATATCAAGTCTTCTTATGTTCATTCAATATGAGGGGCTAGGATAATTGAATTAGAGTAGTAAGTCGTGTCACCGGATCCTCGATCCTCGCTCTCGTTTCCGACAAGGTAAGCTGTTAGGATATTCACTGAATATCCAAAGAGTACTATTTTTAGAAGTGTAATCCCACTGGTCGGTTTCTATTGGTCGCAATTATGGTCGTTTTAACTGTCAAAGTCAAATCCTTCAATGTTGTCTCTTATTGGTCAACTGGACTGTCAATGTCATTTCAATTGTTCTTTTCTATTGGTTGTCTTAAACTGTCAATGTCACAGACATTGATGCTCTTCCCTAATTAACCTTAATGTATAAATACGCACTATCTGTAAGCTTTCATGATTCGGATTCGGATCCCGATTCTCCTGCCTACCTCTCTTCTGTATTCGACCCAATAAAAAACTCCATCCCACGGTGTTGCGTTCTGATATCCAGGAGATTTGGAAATAGCATTTTGGGTCGTATTGGGATAATTGAATTGGACGCCGCTGGGATTGAATAGCTATACGTAGCAGCGTTACAACATAAACTCGTAATAGTTCATGTAGATCAAGTTGACGTGTTTACGTGCAGGCGTAACATTGTAACGTTGGAATGCTTTCTAAATTGGATAAATATTTTGCTCTATTTACATTTAAAACATATCGACAATTGTAAAGCATCATTACATAGTAGTACACTTACGAAGATTATCCATTTCCACATCATCTCCAGCTGCTTCATTTCGTCTCATCGGCGGCATAAACGATCTCATTTCATAGTTAGGAGGCTGAAAAAACAATCAAAATAATCAATAAACCAGAGTGTGATTACCATTAATCAATCAATCAATCAATCAATCGACCAATCAACATAATTCTTATTTTATTGATACAATAAACCAGCATAAAACCCAATTCTCCATTTCAATGTAATGCATATATTATCTACCTGTAATTTGGGCATTCCATCAGAACGTTGAGAAGGTCGATCTAGAGATCTATCCCTGAGATTTGGTCTTCCCAAAGATGGTCGAGTAGCACTGGAACCTGTCAATTCAAAACAATATATAAGATATATATATATATAACTGCATTATTGCACGATAAAATATCATGGAAGTAATAACTCTCAATCAAATCTATTCCAAACACACAGATCAAATCCATCAAACCGATTAAAGCTTATTGAGTCTTAAAATATAATCGATATCCACATATACTAGTAACTGTGTTTAACGCAGACTCCAACACGTAGATAGATTGTAAATACTGTAAAATTTTGTTAGAATAAATGACGACCATGCGGATTATGGGAACAACATTTCTACATTATGCATTATTGTTTAACAGACATTAATGTTTACGTTGATATAACACTAGTGTGGATATAGAAATAATAGAATTAGTTAACCATCCGTCATTTCCAATCAGAAATTAACAAACTAAGACTAAACAAGAAAGACATGTTTTTCTTGTAATGGGATGTAATGTTTTACAGTTTAGACAGACAGATACAACGCAGAAATTCGTACATATGTACATCAGTTCAGGTTGCCATAACACATCAACACAGAGATGCAATGATCAGTTCAAGTCCAATAATGGTACCAATAGAAGTATTAACAGAAATGGAGAAGACTAGGGAGCGATGATATGATTTGAGAAGTATAATTCAGTGAGATAAATTTAGAGGACAAAGATAGAGATTATGAAGTATTCAGAAGGTAAGAATTAGAGGGAACACAAGCAAACAGTGGATGCACCTGTGCAATTGCAAACAATTCTCAGCCATGTCATTCAAGGTCTCTAACCATTGGTGACTATCGTCTCGCCGACCCCAACCACGTAGTCTACATCTACCAACATGACTCAGTCCACTTGTCAGTGACTTCATACATTTCTGCCATGTTTTGTTTTGGCCGCCCCTAAGTTTCTTCAAACCTACCCCTATACCACAAAACGTAGCTCATCGCGATAGTCGGTAGTTAGCCATACGTAACACATGTCCCAACCACCTCAACTGATGAAGTTTCACCACTTCATATACTGATTTGTCATACCTACCTAGAACTCCTATCCTAACGACAGCATCGCTTACTCGGTTGTCCCATGATATACGAGCAATGCTTCGGAGATACCGATGATCGAAGCCTAGTAACATATGAAAGTCCTCTACTCTTAACGGCCATGTTTCGCATCAGTATAGTAGGACGGAGCGGACTGCTGAACAGTACACTCGTCCTTTGGTTAACAAGCGGACATCTCACCTGCGCCATAAGTGACGCAGGTTGGCAAAAGCCATTGGAGTTTTCTGTATCCGTGCTGAGATTTCGTCACACACACCAGACCATCAGCACTCATGAAACTCTCCATACACGTGAAGCGGTCTACACATTCGACTCCCTATCACTAGTTCAGGTGCCGATGTAACCCAATCCTGAAACAACATTTTTCATTTCCAGGGGGGAAACAACATTCCAAACATGCTTGCATTGTTGCTTAGGGTAGTCAGAAGATTCTGCATTTTGTCAAAACAGTTTAACTAGTGAAAGGATGAGATGAAAGGCCGCATTAAATAAAAGCGCATTTTAATTTATGTCAATAAAATATCCATTCAACTTTTAACGGTCAGATAAATGAAATAATAGATTCAGTGTGATCATAATAATCAAAAACTTATTATGTAGAGAAAATAAAACGAATATTTCCAACAACCTAATAAGCTCAATCAATCAATGAATCAATGTAAAGCGTTAAGAGAGAGAATACACAAGTGCATAAAAATATGCACTATCATTATTATTCATTCAATACACACACCAACACCACCCCACCCCACCCCCAACCAACTAAAACAAAACAGAAAACAAAATGTCAATCAGTGTAAACTTAATCCATGTAACAATTGAATCCATTTGTGTTACATAAGGTTTAAACGAACCATGACGACGTAGATACGGTGACCGATCCAAATTTGAGGGCTACAAAAATCAAGATACACAGTTAGTCGAATAAACAAAAGGAATGTGAAGGCATTGAAACAGACAAAAAAACTACATTATATGTAAAGATAATCATACATTTATAGTGTTCATTAAAAAAAGTGTGATCTCCAGCAATTTCAAGTAGTTTATTATCGTTTCATTTAGCTTGCCAGTACTGGATATAAGAGTGTGATATATTCACTAGGGTTTACATTATTCATCATCTAAATGATATTTATTATTTATAGATATATTCTGTGAACATGCATGCTACTGTAGAGCATCTCAACTTGTCGGATGAACAAAAAAGCAAACACAACATGAAAGTTAGAAATCGAAATGTAAAATAGTGTTTTCCTATTTAATATTCACTCACTAGATAATAATAATAATAATAATAATAATAATAATAATAATAATAATTAAAAATTACGATTATAAAGCACTATATTACAGCTTGTTCAAGCTGAACAAGCTTTCGAAGATTTAATCATTACCCATCATACACACCTACACACATCACAAATACAACCAACCTACATATCACGCCACTTCGTTCATCAAAAGGATATAATAACTAAAACTTCGGCAAAAATTATTCTAAGAATAATCGTGCTCTTTATTAAGGCACACTTGATGATTCAATGAGTTAGTTATTTTTCCGAGTGGACTGATTCAATTAGCACCAGATTAATAATAATGAAAGAAAAAATTAGTGCAGAAATTACCTGATCAGCATCGTCGTACACAATTTCCTCTTCACAATTACCATACTGATTGTATTCATATCGTACTAGTGACGCAGGACGACGGTTCGGTGGCAAATGACCTGAAACCGATCAATGAAGATATATATATATATATATATATTACAATCAAGTATGGAAAGTTCTGAGCATAAGAACATTGAGAAAGTCAATTATCACAGTGTCAATGTGCTGCATGAGTAATTTAAAAAGTGGAGTTCTTTCTGCATACATTAATAGAATAACTTCATGTTTGGTTGGTGTGGTTTATTCGGAACAGATTAGTCTACATTTTAGAGATCCGTGGGATCAGCCGACAAACTAATGATAACCAGAGAGTATTACTCAAATGGTTTCGTTTTTAATATTAAAATCAATCTAGAAAGCTACAAATATATATACGAATTTCCTGAAATAAGCTCGATCGGGATCGGATGTCAACTCATGCTAAATCGATAGCTAAAGAGTTGGGGGCAGTCGACAGGAAATCCTAGAGATGTTTTGCACCCACTGGCACTCGTCAGCAAGATCTGATTGCAATTTTCGGTGCATTGATGATCCCTATAGGATTCAAACTCACAATACCCAGTTTCATAGTCTAACACATTATAAGTGAGTTTGAACGCCACTGAGAGCACTAGTTCCCTCAAGATTACAGGAGCACCTTTGTGACCAGTGACAACATGAAACTTCATTCCTAACTATTCTTTTGACTACTTCAAATCAAACTATTATCTCAACATACTGCATGAGATAGATATATGGATTTACTTGGACTCGATAGATAGAATCTAGACAGAACTCAAGGAGACAAGAAAATCATGATAATGATCAGTATTCAGTGATCAATCTTAAGGGACTACTACTCCCCGAACCTATCAAAAAGGTTCAATACACGCGGTAATGGAGTAATTGCACGATAACCGGTAACCAACAATACCTTCATACTCAATTAGTTCCGTCACTATCTTAGCACCTATATGCATTATTGGTTTGGAAACAGGGTTTTCCAACTTCCCTAGGTCAATCCTGCATACCCACCAACCAGATTAAACCACTGGAAACTCGCTTTTCCATCTCTTATTTCTGTAAACAACACCACGAAGAGAAGACAGTGAGTAGGACTTCCCTAGCAGTGGATATATTCGAAAGGCCATGTGAAAGCATTTCAACAGAAAGCACAGTCACCACTCTCGGTCGTAACTAAAGGTCATTAAATATTGAGTCATTCAATCAAGTGCTTACACATGCTTCATCAATTGCAGCTTTTCTTATCAACTACAGCAAAATATACCCCACTATAGATTAATGTGACTCGTTTACCAAGTATATTAAATGTATATGTACTCAGCTTCAAAGTATTGTTGTTTTGGCCAAGGTTAGTCAAACTAACCATGTGTGTTTCAGATTGAACCATCAAGAAGCATTTAACAAAGCAGTAGGAACGCATTCACACTACTACCTATAAACATTATTACAACTCAATTTCTCCACATTAGCACATTTCTCATATTTTCATGTAAATATACACTACACTACAATACATACTGTTCATAACTTTGTGTGTAAATTCGTATTTAGTTGTTAGTGTACATCGGCTATTATTTCATATACTACAAAACAAAATTGTACACATTAACAACACTAACTTCTTGGAGTTGGCGATGTGGAACGCATAGGCACTGAATGACGATTCACATGGTTTGTTTGTAGTCTGTGATTTGATTCCTGTCGACGACAAACAAAAGAACAAAGGAGAAAAGGATTGGGTATGTAACTTGATATGAAAAAAGGCTCAATTTGTATGAAGCACAGAAAACGATAGGTTACTAACAGATAAACAGACAGAAATTATCAGTAAGTATACAATCTGGCATAGATGGATATTGGTCCAAACTACCAGGTCAGATAAGTATAAGGAGATGTAACGTATAAAATAGATAGAGATAATGTAGTCTTAGTAGTAGTAGTAATAATGACGATTTAAAAAAAGGCTAATACTGAGATTAAGGTTGGAAAATACAACGTGGAAAGGATTGTCAGTCTGTCAATCAGCTACAACATCATTGTCAGTTTCCCTCTAATACAACATTAGCAAAGAGAGATGGAATTATCAATTCAGATCCCAAAGCGGTAGAGGTATTAGCGCGGAAAGGATTATATGAAGGAATACTGGAATTCGAGATCTAGAATAAGGGAAAGAGTAAGTGCCCTGATCTATGTCACCTACTGTTCAACCACTGACCGTGATTATCTCGCCTACCTCAACAAGGTAGTCTATACATCCATCATCATGACACAAAAGGTGACACCATGTTTTATTTCAGTTTCTCATGGGTTTCTTCCAACTTACCCTCACTCCAACCATCAATGCATTTCGAGGTAGGCGTTGGGCACTCGTAAAATAAGCTACAACTACTACCTGTCGATGGAGATTTAGTGTTGATTCAATCGGCTTGCTTTTCTAACCTAACACCAAGTGTGAAATGCTGTGCATCGAATTTATCGTAATGGTCAACAGACAGATATATCACGTACAACACAGTGGTGCAAGTTCGTAAGCTTCAACTGACCTATCTGAATCGAAGACGAGGTCTTGTCTGGCACCAATTCACCAGAAGCAAGGGAACTCTCAACATAGAGGATGGTCAACAAACTCAAATACTTCGCTAAATATAACTGGTTCAGCCAATCAAGTAATATACTGCAGTTACAAGAATAGAAATGCACCCCAAACGTACTACGACTGTTGCTTAAGGTGAACAAAAAGCTCCGTATATATGCATAATGACTGCTTGATTGCATTTAAGTAGTGCAACAATGGAATATACAGTTTCCTTCTAACGGCACAACTAGTCGTTATGCAGTAAGCCACTTGAAAAATTAAGTTCTTTCTGAACTTCATTTAAGTAAGTATTATAAATCATCAACGGAGAACCTGCTACAAATATGAGCTAACACAAGTACTGTTATACATTTTGTGCTAAAAAAAAAGAGGCATCAATGTGATGCACTGACTTTTATACAAATGGTTACACCATGAACTATCGCAAAATGGTAGCGATGAAATCTGATATTTTTAACTATACAGTTGAAACGATGATGAAATAAAAAATTAGTCCCTCATAAAGGCAAATAATTAAGTACAAAGAAAAGATTACTTGTTGACTGGAACTTTGAAATCCCCTTGCAGTGAAGAATGAAGGCGGTGATGATGGCGGTAGTGGATGCACAGCACCAATTCGTTGATTTCCAGCTAAGTAGTATGAAGAGACAATTTAATAAAAAGTGAAAAATCAGTCACTAGTTATAGGAACGAGTCAAATGAAAATGTCATGTTGCGATAAATATTAAGCAATACGACTTTCAGCATTGTCGTCTGAAGTTACTGTTCATATTTTCGTTACAAAATTGATTATTAAATATACTTAAATTAGTGTATTTTTGTGTGCTTCTACTTGTAAGCTTCTCCGTGATGCATAAGCTGTTGCTATATGTTGTACTGTTACCTTGTGAACGACCTACTAATCACTTCTTTTCCACATGTTGCTTCACTTATCTCTATTTTGATCAATTAATTATGGTATGTAGTCAGAACCTTATATCATGTTATTATACAAATGATTTGTATTTTCAAACTGCATAATTGAAATCATCTGCACTATTCTTGTTTCCGAGCAAGCCAGTTTAGGAAACTGCATTCTGGATTCATAGTCAGGTATTAGTCTCGGCTAACTCACTATAATCGAGTCACCGGTTAGCCGGTTACTTGCACTATCCAGAGTTTATGAAAATGATTCAACACTCGGACTAGATCAAAGCAAATGCTCTCAAGTCATACGTTCCGATCACACAGGCCCCAAAAACTGGAGTAACAAAATTTGTTTATTTTAACCTTATAATTACTGAACAAAAAAATTAAAAAGGAACCAATTTTATTGGATTTATGGACGATATTCAGGACTATCATTCTTTCACAAGCGTTAGTACAACGGGTTTGAATTCTTATTCCCGGTTGGAAATTAAAGCATCTAAAACAGCACCAATCAACTGAGAGAGAACTAAAGAGTAGTGAGAAAAACCATCTTCACCATCTTTGACATTGACTACTATAATTCTAATTTGCAAGGTTATTGAACTAGTTTTGCATTGCTGACTGGTGCCAGCAACAAAAGTCTCCCTTGGACAACCAGCATCTGCAGCGATGCTGACTTTTCACAACGGAATGAAGGGGTTAAAAGTGTCGATCCCATAAATTTCACACCTTATGAATGCGAAACATGGCCGTTAAGAGTAGAACATGTTCGTAGGTTACTACTATTCGATCATAGATGTCTTAGAAGCATTGCTCGTATATCGTGGGACAACCGAGTAAGCAATGTTGTCGTTAGGAAACGAGTACTAGGTAAGGATGGCAGATCAATAGATGAAGTATTGAAACTTCATCAGTTGAGGTGGTTGGGACATGTGTTACGAATGCCCAACCACCGACTGCCTCGACGAGCTATGTTTTGTGGTGTAGGAATAGGTTTGAAGAAACCTAGGGGCGGCCAGACCAAAACATGGCACAAATCCATGAAGTCGCTGACAAGTGGACTGAGTCATGTTGGAAGATGTAGACTACCTGGTTGGGGTCCGCGAGACGAAAGTCACCAATGGTTAGAGCGCTTGAATGACATGGCTGAGAATCGTTTGCAATGGCACAGGTGCATCCATTCGTTGTGCTCTCTCAAATCCTAATCTTCTGCATTCGTCAGCACCTCTACCTTTGTCCTTCTAACCTTATCTCAATGAATTATACTTCTTGAATAATATCTTCGAACCCTAGTCTTCTTCATTACCATTAATACTTCTACTATCTCTATCACTATGGGATCTGATTTGACATTTGCGTCTCTGTGCTAATGTGGTATGGCAACATGAACTTATGTACATACGTACGAAGTTCTACGCTGCAACTGCATGTATTCGATCAAAGGTGTCTTCGGAGCATACGGATCACCAAGTAAGCAATGCTGCTGTCACGGGAAGAGTACTAAGTAAGTATGGTAGATCCATTGACAAAGCAGTGAATCTTCGTTCAAATTCTAATCTTCTGAGTTAGTCATGACAATTTTTCTCTCCTCAAGTTTATTTCGCTGTATTTCATCTTACTTCTTCAATCATACCTTTGATCACTAATCTTTTTCATTACTGTTATTACTGCTACAACCTCTATTGATATGGGATTTAAACTGACTTTTCGCCGATAATCAAAAAACACACCTTACATGTCACCATGAACTTTGTCAATTATCGTCCAAACAGTGAAACATTAGAGCGGTCATAATTTAACTTACCATGTGGAAATGGCGGATTTGAAGGTCCGGGTACGATTTGAGGGTAAAGATGCTGAAAATGTTTAACGAAAAGCAGAAAAGCGATTGATATAAGTAATTACGATAGTAGCGAGTAGTCAAATCTACAAAACATCTTTAGATTTAATATTCCGAGATTCCAAAATGTAAGAGTACTCGTCTAAATATTTCGCGGTGATTTTGTAGAGATCTAACTACTCAAAAATACTGAATCGAATAGTATTATTTATACAATTATATAATCGGAAATAAAACATCGTGTACATGGATACGTATGTAACAAGGATATAAGTACATGTAACACTGTGTTAACTTACACACCTAGCAACAAACTAGACAGATTGAGTAAGAAACTATGAATAAGATGTCTTCTGGTACTTTGAATATCACCAAAAACTTAACAACACTGGATATACGAACGATGGTTAGACAAATTAACACCAAAAACTCGCTTCGAGTAACCAGATGCTGATAAGCACAAATGCGTTAGATTCTGCACTCCAGTTTTACAACAAAGTGCATCAATCAAAGAGAATGAGAAGTGCGATTCTACTGCCTGTTTCGACAGACACGCTGAAGTGACAATGTTTGTTTAAAATGTAATGAATTTGATCCTTTTTTACGACGAATGATTACAGTTGTGCTTATCACTATGCAGAAATACACTACTGGTTTAAGGCATCATACATTTGAAACTGACGTGACTCTTTGTTTGGGTCACGAGATCACACTGTCAGTCATAGAATCCAATTAATCCCTATATCAATATCGTTTATGTTCGTTCATGTAAAATCTACACCACAGGCACATATACCTTTCTTTTTCTATTAGATGAAGCTCTTGGAGAACAAATCACCAATCTACTTATCTCATAAAACACCAGCTAAGTGCTCGTAATGATATCAGCTAAAAACCAATCGAAAGACCGAAATGATACAGTGTAAAGTCATATTAATAGTATAGAAAACAAGTTTTAGTGGTAAAGATCACCTAATGGCACAACATTTAACGTAGGCTGTATATAATCATACTAAAACTGATTCGAGTGTAGGGTTATAACACATACCAAATGACTGAATAAGTGATTAGGCGTGGAATATAAGATTTATAGAGTCAAAACATATACCTGAGATACTGAATAACCATTTACTCTACCGTGCGAAAATCAGGTTTACGAAACTTTATTCTAGGTCTTTTCACCTTCATTCTTACAAATTCTTATGCTGTTAAATATGGACCACATCTACTATCTTACACTAGAAAAGCCAAATTCTTGCTTTTACTCAACGAATTTCGATAAGTTCTCCAAATAGATAAAAATATTGATTACACTAACCAAGTAAAATTCCACCAAATAGTAATGGTAGTGCAAATCAGTTAACAAGTAATTTTGTGATTGGAGCGCTTAACCACAATTGGGTGAGGGACAGAAACATCGCTTGTTTGTCCAAACCTAAAAAGAGAAACAATCTGAGACAAACCTAGACTTTTGACAGTATTCCAGTCATGTACCACAATACACCAAACCATGATCCACAACAAACACTCGAAAATTTAAGGACCAAAAAGATGTATATGTGATAACAACTTCACCGAAATCATGTCTAGTTGAATACTTACACCTTTTGGATAATTGTAACCAAGATAAGGATTCTTTGGGGGATTATTAATGCGATCCAACCCTACAAATTCGAAAATTCAAATGAGACAAAAAACAATTAGGTATGAAAAATATAGATATCCAAGCAGAAACTTGTGTATCATTTGCAGAGCGCAGTAAAATTAAAGTACAGTCAAAATTAACGCAGTACATACCCCACTGATCTGTGAAAGGAGAAGCATGTCCATACTGTCCCATGTTACTATTCATCTTGTGTTTGGTTGGAATAAATCTAAAATAATATGGAATGAAACACTTTATATAGCCAGTCCACTTAGCACTGAAAAAATTTAGCTCATTATTACAAGTGTAAATTTAATGAAAAACTCAATTGATATTTAAATAACTTCACACTCGATGAACCGGAGGTATATGCATACGTGTATTCCTTAGGGTTACAATAAAAATGAGCCTGAATTAATTCTTCGTGATTAACGTCACATTCCCAGATAGGCCGAAAGTAAAAAGTTTCAGGGTGGAACAAAACATTGAGGATAAGATTAAAACCACATGAAAGTCGCAGTAGTTTGCCTAAATGAGACGGAACAATAAACCAAGATAGACATAAAAGGGAGCCATACTGTTTTACCACCAAAGGCCTGTGAAGAATTCGAAGAACCGCTCTTCAGTCGTGACTTACGCACCAGTAGTGAGACATTATCCAATATCCAATATCTTTTTCACGAGCTGGTATAAACCAACTGATTTCTCTGCGCCGGATTAATATTCTTTCGATACGGTTCCGGGTGTTTGGTAGTGTACAATGAATTGGGGTCTAGCCACTCGACTGTCTAATTTTAATGAGTTGGCAGTTCGTTATGAGTTTGTAAGTCTCGTGATTTGGGTGAAAACGTTTTTTCCAGGGCAGTAGGGTTTTCGGATACCAGCAGCTATCACATTATCAGACCGGTGATCAGTTAGTTGTAATGTGGATAATAAAGAAGGATAAAATTCTAATACCAATGTGAATAGGATTTCGGAACTAAGTAAATTAATGGATAATTTAGTTTATCAATTGGTAGTGATTACATACTTCTGGAATAATTTCTTCGAACCCTAGTTCTTCTCTTTCACCGTTAATACTTCTACTGCTGTGGGATTTCAATTGACATTTGAGTATCAGTGCTAATGTGGTATGACAACTTGAAGAACTAATGTACACGTAGGTACTTACGAATTTCTACGTTGTAGCTGACTGTATAATATCATCGAATATATTATTAATAAATTTTGTGATTC